TCATGTAATTTTAACAATTAGCTATTAGTTTGTTAACCCTTTGCTTTGCAAATTATTTTCAAGTTTCTCCTTCTCAAATTCAGAGTCCTCCTTGCGCAAAAAAACTCTATATAGATGCAATCCGTCTATCCGCTACGCGCGGATCATTGGGGTGCGTCGTTAACTATGTAAATCAAAACTATATCAAGTCACCTAAGATTTTATATAGTTAATATTTTAGAGTCTAAATTTGATAGACGAAATTTCATAGGTACACAGATCGAACAATTTCTCAAATATTTTCGCACTTATTAGCTTCTTCAAACTATCTTTACAAAATTACGAAGTTTTTTTTACATTTACTGATAAATTATTTGAGGTCTGATTATTTTTTTTTGGTATTTTATTATTAACACACAAAATGGTCTCGTAACTTTACTAATAAACTCATGTTCTTAATCTTAATATGCTTTTTTTTCTCAAAGTACAGAATAGTTAAAGCCACACCCTATAAAAAATTTTTATCCGAATATTTCCATTATTTCTCCGTGTCTTCCATAAAAATTCTGTGAAAATGATACATTTACGGATATCCGTGTTAGCGAGATGAAAATTTCCATGATTTAAGGCTATAAATTCCATTAAAATGATACATTCACGGAAAAAACATGAAAAGATAAAACACAGATCAGATTTTTTACAGGGACAGTGCCACACATCTAATATAATACAAATCATATAAACGTCATTTTCAATTAAAGGAACGAAACAGTCAAAACTCCGTTTGTCATCAGATATATAAATATATATATTATATAAGATAATATTTCAAAAGAAAATTTAGGCAAGTTAAAGAATGAGTCAAGAAGATTACTTCAGGAAATACCGCCTCAGCTATTTGGGCCTGATATCACTTCAGATCTTTTTAAACAAATGCTTTGCATATATAAAAAAATTAACATTATTAAATTTAATTTGTACAGTATATATTTATTTGCATTAATAAATTCATTATTGTAACAATAAACTCATTTATTGTTATTAAAATCCTTAATTAATAATATATAACTTGATATAGTTTTGATTTACATGGATCATCCATCAGTGACGGGTATACGTTTTTATAATATCCGTCAGATTAATCTTTCGGATATTTTCAGATATCTTTGGGTACACGGATCGAATACTAGTAATACGAGTAATACGGATAAACGGAATAAACGAATACGGATAGGCGGATGACGAATATACGCAGATTGGGAACAAACTCTTTCATTTTAATACTTTTTTAATTTCTTCCACTAACGAGAGTATAAAAGAACAAAAATGTACAAGTACGAATGGGTATGATGTCAATTTAATAATTAATAATCTACAGTAATATCCTAATTAATATAACAGATAATTATTAATTAAAAAGATGTTCGAGCTGCAAAAAAAAATCATGAAAATCTTTGGAAAGTCATTACTTTTTATGGATACTGACCGAAATTATCATAATACTGGCCGATTTACTGCCTTCCCAACCTTTATACATATATTTCGGGATCTTTTTATTACCCTTTTTATTTTTATATTTATAAACGGCTCATTTTTTTAGATTTAATTTGCTACTAGACTTAATATAATCAGAGTACGGTATAATTTTGTACCATACTAATAATATATACACGACCGATACGGTATGATTAGTAAATGGATTATCATATTATCATACCGGATTATGATATCAGTAAGCAAAGCTTATTAACGTAACTATGTGATACCGCAAAAAATTGATGTTTTAAACATGGCGTCTAGAATAGTTAACATTATTTATTTTTTATTTGATCAAAAAATCAAAAATCCCGAGTCGACAAAAATAATCCCGAAAGTACATTACCTGACATATAATTATCCGACATACAATTATCCTGACTACCAAATAAATATTTTAGGTCTGAAATAATTGAATTAGCTATATTATTACAAAAAGTCCAAAGTTTATGTTGTATTATGAGATGTTTCTAATAAAATAATGAAGTTTTTATGAAATTGAAATTGAAAGAATTTGTTGGAATAACAATTGTCAGGATAATTCAGGATTATTATGGTCGGTATTGTATTGAATCGGGCAAATGAAATTTTTGATTTCGTAGCGAAACCCTTGTATTCCTTGTATTAAATGAAATAATGTGTCACGGTACTTTAAGAGTATGCAGGCACCGTTCAAATTCAATTGTAATAATAATCTTCAGTTAGTTAATTGTTGTAACACATGACTAAATTTCAGTAAGAAAAATTAACCCACGGCAAGTCGGGTAATTTTATTTAACTTGTAATAATGATCGAAAAAATTTGAAACATTTTAATCTGTTAAATGTAATCGTAAATATGCACTGTATTTTAATTGTAATACCATATATTATTTTATTGGGAAATTGCCGATAATGTTAAACAATGGAGTTGGTGGTTTAAAAAATGTCCAGTACATCAAAATGCAAAAAATAAATTAGTCACGTGATTTTGACTCCCTTAGAAAAACTTTTTTTGAAACCGTGTAACTATCCTGTAAATATTTGTTTTTTTGTTTATCTAAACGTGTATGTGTAATTGAACATATTTTCATTAAAATGTATTAGAATAAATTATCACTTGAAATTCTATTCGACTAATTAGAAAAATTATAATAAATTATAAATTAATATTATGTTTACATAACAAAATATTTTTATTTTTTTTTTTTTTTTCTCTTAATCGAAATTCGAAATTTTTTTTAGAAAAAAGGGTTTTTTTTTTCTTTGAATAATAAAATAATAAAATAATAAAATAATAAAATAATAAAATAATAAAATAATAAAATAATAAAATAATAAAATAATAAAATAATAAAATAATAATAGAATAATAATAATAATAATAATAATTAAACAAAATTAAAAAAAATATATTTTTTTTACAATGAATTATTAAATAATAGAACCAAATTTGTTTATTATTAAATAAATATAAAGATTCTGGATTTCCATAGTTCATAACTCGTAATATCCGATCACTTCCGTTCCGAATATTTAGAGTAATCAGCATATTTTGTCCCCAGCGTGTTAAAAATAATGGCCATAATTAAAAAACTTTATTTTAACATGTGGATTGAAACTTATCACAAACATAACATTTGTACGAATTATAAATATATCTCGAATGTATCGAATTTTAGTAAAAAAAAAAAAGTTTCGATTTAAGAATAATCCATCTTTAGACGTTATCAAAAGGATAAAAAAAAAAATATTAAAAATACTAATACTAAAATACTAATAGTCTAATACTAAAATATAAATATAATATATAATATATATATAATATAATATAATATATATTATATATTATTATATATACAGTACGGAAATATATATTGTATTATTGCATGGGGCATAAATATTTTTTTCCGTCCTTTGCAGAATTATTTATAATTGTTAAATTTATTTAATTTTCATTGGTTTTAATTCATTTAACTTCAAACAGTAATTTTTCTACTTTATCAAAAATATACAAGTTCGGATAAACATGATCATATGAATTTTTACAAATCAAGATATCGAATAATATCCTACGGTAGATCCGAGAATAAAAAACAAAAAAATTTTTTTTTTTTTTTTTTTTGTTTCAAAAATGTATACCTATTTATTTATGAATAAATGTTAAAAAAAGGAATAGTAATTTATGTACGTATCGAATGATGATTACGTAATAGAATTTCTTCTTGTAATAAATATAGTTAGAACGGAAACACTTTCCCTTTTTTTTTAAAAAAAAATTAAAATTGTAAAAGAAATGTTTCTATTCGCAAATACTTTTTTAATATTTTGGTATCGAATAATAATAAGACTTGATGATGAATTTTTTAGTTTTGTTATAATAAGTTATCCTTTAAAGGAGTTCAAAATACCTTGATGGAGTTAAATTACATATATGTATAAATTTTTTAACGGAATCGGATTAAAAATATTTTTCCAAATTTAATTAATTTTTTCCTTAATTTTTTATCAGAAAGAAAGGAAATCGAGATTAAAACTTTTTTTAAAAAGAGGAATATTAGAATAAATGCATGCCGAAAACTTGTGTTACTTTGTGTAAAATTTTAGGGAAACAAATCAAAAATTATTGTACCAATCCTTTTTTATGGATTGATTTTCATTCATTATTTATTTATTATTATTATTATACAATATTGTAATTTTTGAATAAATGCAAATTAAATTAATGTTTATGTTGTATTTATATTAATCGAATAAAAGAAAATATATATATATATATATATATATATACATATACAATATAATATTTTTATTTTTAAAATTTTTATTTATATAAATTTTTATTTACTTTTAGAATAAATCATCACGTATGTAACTCAACAATTATTATATACAATTTATTACAATTTAAAAAAATTATATTCAATTATATCGGAATTTTCTTTGTGTAACCAAACAAATTTATTTCAAAATTTTTTTTTTTTTT